GCGCCTGCTCGGCCGCCTGGCCCGTCTGATCAAGGAGTCTGTCTGGGTGAGCGAGCGACCCCCACCACCGTCGGGCTCCGCTTCCGCCCCGGGTCCTTTGCACGCCTCCCTTCACCCCAGTTTTGTCACCACATCTCCCGTGGTGGCTCAGTCTACAAAGCCGGGGGTCCGATGGGACGCTGGGAGGTGGGGTTCATCCGCTGTGCAGTGTCTGCCTTTGCAGCTGTGGGATCAATGGGAGAAACCATTCTGGGAGATGGAGATGCGGGGAGGGAGGACGAGAACCCATTGTATGAAACAGTTGAAGAGGCCATTGTGGGAAGTGAGGCGGGAAGCTCACTGAGTCTGAAGTGGTACGTGAGACCGTGCCTAGAGGTGAGGGAGAAGCAGCGAAGGGGTTGCACTCCAAAAAGCTTGGGCCTCTTAGGAGATTTAGGAAGCTCCTGGGGGGTAAGAAGGAACTCTGTTTGAGAAGTGGACCTGGGGGAGCTGGCGTGTGTTTTAAAAGGTGAGGCGAGACCATTCTGAAGCTTGAGTCCATTTGAAAAGCAAGGAGAGTCTCTGTTTGAAAGGTGCTTCTAGAAAAACCCGGGTATTGACCCTGGGCCTGTCTCCCTGACTCTAACCTTGTTGTTCCACAGGAAAAGATTAAGGAAATCGGAGACCGTCAGCCAGAGAAGTAAGAGAAATTCTGGGAGAAGCAACGAGGGGGATGTGGGGGTTGGGATGGGAGTCGGTTCTGTTCACCCCATGCATGTCCTAGCGCAAGTTTCTGCTCTTCCTGCTTCTACTCAACTATTCCAGCTGTGAGACGGGGGTTAGATTCGACCCACAATTAGACGCAGATCTCGGGGCTTGGACATTGCGGTCGGGTTGGGCAAGGATCACAGGTCCCGTCCTCCTTCCCCAGCCACCCTGAGGGGGTCCCCGAGGAGCCCCTGACACCCGAGGCCGTGTCGGTGGAGCTGCGGCCACTCATGCTGTGGATGGCCAACACCACGGAACTGCTGAGCTTTGTGCAGGAGAAGGTGCTGGAGATGGAGAAGGAGGCTGACCAGGAGGGTGAGCTCTGACCCAGACCCCAGCCCGTCCAAGCCCACTGCCATTCCCTGGACCCCGGGGGCCTGGGCTCCTCTCTGCCAGCCTCTGGTCCTCCCGCTCACCCCCACACCTATCCCCAGACCCACAGCTCTGCAATGACTTGGAATTATGTGACGAGGCCATGGCCCTCCTGGATGAAGTCATCATGTGTACCTTCCAGCAGTCTGTCTACTACCTCACCAAGGTTGGCCTTGACCTTTGCTTCCTGTTGGCATCACGTAACCTCCCACTGACTGCATCACCTCGCTCTGATGTCACTTCCGATTGGCCCTCACAAGACTTCCTGCTTCTCTGACATCACTTCCCATTCCGTTATTCCGACATCACTCCCTGCTGGAGCCTGCATCACTTCCTGCCTTCTGGCTTCTCTTCCTGTCTCTGCAACCATCCCCTCTCGACAGTCTAGTCTCCCTACCTGGTTATATCACTTTCTCAAGCTCCCTCCCTTTTCCCGAGTCAATTCGTCAGTCACTGATAAGTCGGTAGATGGATATATAGGTATCTAGATACGGATAGATTATATAGTGTTAGGTACTGTCATTTAAACTAAAGGTCCTCTTTAACCAGCCCTCACTTCCTGTGTTTGCTGAACTCACTTTCTGTAGCTGAATTCACTTCCTTTTCTGAGTCACAGACCTTCTTCTCCCTGGAGTGCCCATCCTACAGGACCTGTTTGCTGCCCAGTTCCTCACCGCCACCCGTGACCATCCTATTGCTTCCTGGAATTCTCAGGGTTTCTGGGCGTATGGCAGGCTTGACTCCCCATCTATGAAATGAAAGGGGATCTTTTGGGGCAGATAGTCTATGTTCCTTGAGGAGCCTTGATTGGTGAACCCCTTTCCTTCTGAAGGCTTCGCTTCCTGTACATCCCTGCCAAGTGTGGTTTGACTTTTTTTTCTGGCTCTGACTTTATTTCCTGTCCTTGGCCTGATCTCACTTTTCACTGGCTGACTGCCACCCCACTCCCACTTCCTGACTCTCCATTCTTTTTCTTTCCTTCAGGAATTCTGGATAAATACTTCTTTGACTAAAGGGGGCCCCTTTGCTCAGTATCCTTTGTCCTCCTTGAGTTGTCTCTGTTGAGGAACTGTAAGTCCCGTAAGGCACCACCAGGGGTGGTCTTAAAATGCCCAAGAAACTTCTGCAAAGCCTTTCTTTTTAAAAATATATTTTTATTGATGTCAGAGAGGAAGGGAGAGGGAAAGAGAGATAGAAACATCAATGATGAGAGAGAATCATTGATTGGCTGCCTCCTGCATGCCCCCCACTGGGGATCAAGCCCACAACCTGGGCATATGCCCTGACCAGGAATCGAACCGGCAACCTCTTGGTTCCTGGGTTGACGCTCAACCGCTGAGCTACACCCGGCTGGGCATCAAAGCCTTTCTTAAGACCTGAGGTTCCCCCAGGCCTGATGCCTGCTAGAAACCCAACTGGAAAGCAGGACTTTACTCATGGAGATCTTTAGGGTGTTGAAGGCAAAATGGACTACAATTCCCAGAAACCTTTGGCGGAGCTCCCCAGGATCTTCCTATGCGGCTCCCCTGGCACTTCTAGGGAGTTGTAGTCTGATCTTGTTGGCATCTCTCTATCTCCTCAGACTCTGTATTCAACGCTGCCAGCTCTCCTGGATAGTAACCCCTTCACAGGTGGGGCAGAGCTTCCCGGACCTGGCGCAGAGCTGGAGGCCATGCCTCCGGGTTTGAGACCGACCCTGGGCGTGTTCCAGGCAGCTCTGGAACTGACCAGCCAGTGCGAGCTGCACCCGGACCTTGTGTCTCAGACTTTCGGCTACTTGTTCTTCTTCTCCAATGCATCCCTTCTCAACTCACTGATGGAACGAGGTGAGCGTCAGACTGGGACGGGCAAGGAGGCAGAGACAGGAGGCCCTGAGACCCAGGTCAAGTCAGACCGGTCACGGGCTGAGGCCTAACTCTTATGCACTCTGGAAAGCAAGCTCCGGGTCCCCAGCTGAAGAACAGGAAGGGCCTGGGAGGCAGAAGGGCAGGGTCCATGTACCCATTGCTGCTCCTACCCTTCCCCCACAGGTCAAGGCCGGCCTTTCTATCAGTGGTCTCGAGCTGTGCAAATCCGGACCAACCTGGACCTTGTCTTGGACTGGCTGCAGGGGGCTGGCCTGGGAGACATTGCCATGGAGTTCTTCCGGAAGCTCTCCATGGCTGTCAACTTGCTCTGTGTGCCTCGCACCTCCCTGCTCAAGGTGATTCCTGACCCCGGGCCCCTGACGCGTCAGCCTTGCTCTGTATTCAGTTTACCCCTGGGTCTTCCCTTGGTCTCCATGTTACCCTCAGTCCCAGCTCAGACGCCATGGGGGATGCACTGGCAGCTCGAAGGAAGTAGCCAACAGGTGTCCAAACTGGGCTGCATCTGAATCTCAGTGGGACTGATTCATAGTTTCCAGGACCCGCACCCTCAGACATACTGACTCAGGAAGTCAGGTACGAGACCAAGGAATGGGGTGGTTAAAACACGCATTGGCCCTAACCGTTTTGGCTCAGTGGATAGAGCATCGGCCCGAGGACTGAGGGGTCCCAGGTTCGATTCCAGTTAAGGGCATGTACCTTGGTTGCAGGCTCGATCCCCAGTAGGGGTTGTGCAGGAGGCAGCTGATCGATGTTTCTAACTCTCTATATCTCTTCCTTCCTCTCTGTAAAAATCAATTCTATATATATATATATATAATATCACACTCATTGAACATAAAACTACATGCCAGACACTGTTTAGCACTTCTGGTTGGATGCTAAGCCCCAAGAAGTAGGTTACTAATTAACAATTTGTTCTCCGACAAAGAAACCGAGAATTAGGTAGGCTAGGTCACTTGACTTCATTTATTTATTTTTATTTGTCAAACTTGTGCAGAGCATTTAATGAGCACCAGGCCGTGTTCTAAGTACTTTAGAATCTGCCATATTCAATCATTATAACAACCCTAGTGGTAGTTCCTAATCTCCCCCAATTTACAGATGAGGAGACCGAGGCACAGTGACTTGCCAGAAGGTATTAATTCACCAAACTGGATTTTCCGAACCCAATCTGGGTCCAGTCTCTGGTTTTGACCACACTGATGATTCCGATGCCAGCTAGCTTAGGTGTCGAAATTTTCAAAGACACAAAAAGTAGCCGCCGTGGAATAATGAATCCCCAGGTACAGTCACCAGCTTCAACACGATGAAGGGATGGCTAAGTTAGTTTCTTCTCCGTCCCCTGGCTACTCCTATCTTCATTTATTCTGCAGCAAATCACTTAAAAAATGTTTTTGTTAATTTTTAGAGAGGAAGGGAGAGGGTGAGAGAGAAACATCAATGTGAGAGAGAAGCATTAATAGGTTGCCTTCTGTACACATCCTGACTGGGGGGCTGAACCCGGAACCTGGGCATATGCCCTGACCATGACCTCCTGGTTCATGGGTCGATGCTCAATTACTGAGCAACACCAGCTGAGCAGCAAATCCCTTTAAAAAAAAAAAAAAAAGCTGAGAGCACACCCTTCCCTACCCATCACTGCAGTGACACCAGGCTTCACAGTGCCCTCAAGACATTGCAGACACCGGTACATCCCACTACATCCAACCCCTCTATGGAGGGCTTTCTATTTAGGATTTCTCAGCTGCTCCATAATGACCACAGACTTCTCACCTCATCTTCCTGCCAGGCTTCATGGAACAGTCTACGAACCGACCACCCCACGCTGACCCCTGCTCAGCTCCACCATCTGCTCAGCCACTACCAGCTGGGCCCTGGCCGCGGGCCCCCACCTGCTTGGGAGCCTCTCCCTGCAGACCGGGATGCTGTGGACACAGGCGAGGAGAAATGGGGACAGGCATCGGGGCAATCAGCTTGCTTCTGTCCTTGGGACCTCGGAATCCATAGCCCCAGCCCCTTCCTCCTCCTTACTCAGGATTTGGACCCCCAGCCCTCTCCTCCCCCAGAATCTAAGTTCTGGACCCCAATCCCCTTCTCCCCAGGATACAGGACTTCAAGCCCCCAGCTCCCTCTTTTTTTCCTAGGGGTTCAGACCCCCAGCTTCTTTCCCTTACAACAGCGGTTCTCAACCTTCCTAATGCCGCGACCCTTTAATACAGTTCCTCATGTTGTGGTGACCCCCAACCATAAAATTATTTTCGTTGCTACTTCATAACTGTAATTTTGCTACTGTTATGAATCGTAATGTAAATATCTGATATGCAGGATGTATTTTCATTGTTACAAATTGAACATAATTAAAGCATAGTGATTAATCACAAAAACATTTTCCGATGGTCTTAGGCGACCCCTGTGAAAGGGTCGTTCGACACCCAAAGGGGTCGCGACCCACAGGTTGAGAACCGCTGCCTTACAAACTACCCTCCCCGTCACCCAGGAGTCCCGGCTCCAGGCCCTCCACTCGAAGCAATCCGTAAAACTAAGTTCCAGCCCTTCCTTCCTCGTGGACCCAAGGACCCAACTACATCGCCTGTTTCCCAGGCAACGGTGGCCTTTTGTAGTGTGAACTACAACTCCCATGATGCTTGGGAACTCCAGAAGTCGCGCTGGAGTGGACCCCGCTCTAGGAGTTGCTGGGGGGTTTTAAGTTTTTCCTTCCTTCGGACGTGACGCAGCCTAGTCTCTCTCTGACACTGCTGCCTACCGTCCATTTTCAGAACTTAACTCTGCGTTTTCGGTCTCATAGGGGACATCTTCGAAAGCTTCTCCTCCCATCCGCCCCTCATCCTGCCCTTGGGCAGCTCGCGCCTGCGCCTCACCGGGCCGGTGACAGACGACGCCTTGCACCGTGAACTACGCAGACTCCGCCGCCTCCTCTGGGACCTGGAGCAGCAGGAACTGCCAGCCAATCACCGCCACGGACCTCCTGTGGCCACGCCCCCTTGAAAACCAATAGCAAACGAGCGCGCGAGTCTTGAAAATTCTTGGGCTGCTACTCACTGGAGCCCTCCTGAGCGCAGAACTTCCTGGGAGTTGTAGTTCCTTTCTCGCTTGGAATGCTGGGAGTTTGAGTTTTTGGGTCGTAGAGGCTGGGACGGTGGGTAGATGGGTGTGGGATTGGAGTGCCAGGAGCAATAAAGGCATCTGTGGTATTGACAGCGTCTCACTGGTTAAGACCCCGGAAACGTTAGTGATGATTTTCTGCGGAATATGGCACCAGGGCCCTTGCCTGGGGCGCTGGGCTCCTGCCGACTCCGAGGAGGTATTTATAACCACGGCCTCGGCTTGCCCTCTTGCACGTAATCCAACCCGGGAGCACGGGGGAGAGGCCTCCCACGAATCTCGGGGCAGTGCTCGGAAGCGTGCTCTGCCAAATATCAGCGGGAACCAGCCCTGCTCGAGGGTTCTTTTGTTTTGTTTTTGCTTTTTTCAAGCTCTCTCTTTGATCCCCAAAGTCCGTACTCGAGCGCCCTCCTCCCTCAGACCCCGGAGTCGGTTCCCAGCCCATTCTGGACCTGCCGAGTCCCAACACCTCCAGTCCCCATCCCCAGCATCCGCAAGCCTGGGCTCCCTGCCCACGCCTCTCCCCCGGGAGCCCCGGCCCCGCCCACTTTCCTGCCAACCCAGGAATGCGGGTCCCTTTCCCCCTCCTTCGGGCCCGGGAGTCCGGGAGTCCAGTTGCACTTTTCACCCCCCTGAACCCGACTCCTGCTGCTGCGTCAGGGAAACGCTGAGTGACAGGTGGCACCTGCCTGTGGGGTGGGGAG